TTCTTTTCTTGTTTTAAGTGTATTTGTGCGTAACTTTATGGCTTGCGTTTTTGAGCTACACTGGGAAAATTTTTAGAAACAAGTAAGGGATGCAGCACCACTAGTTTGCTTATGCTGGCTTGTTGGATCTCTTTCTCCAGTGCCCTTACATCTGTGTCAAGTGACCACCGCTTGGTATTGTTCTGTATGTCCTGGCCCAAGTGCTTCACTCCTACAAATAAAAGGCCAAAATAACGCTATGGACTTCTGTGTAGAGACTTTGGATTTATGTTGGTGTTGATGAGGCCAAACTCGTCACAGAGTGCACCTTAGCATAAATAAGAAACATGCAGTGGGACGTAATGGGAAATCAACTCCATCGTTTCCCTTTCCTGTGCACTTTGGGTCAAATTCTCCCTTCATTTTTCCCTAGCGCAGTTGAGAAGCAGCTCAGCTGAATCCCTGGGACTGTGCCAAAACTGATATAAACAGTGGAAGTGTTAATCTATCGTGGACTCTATTGTCTGCATTGTTATCATAGAATCATAGAATCATAGAATGTTTTGGGTTGGAAGGGACCACTAGAGGTCATCGAGTCCAACCCCCCTGCAGTCAGCAGGGACACCGCCAACTAGATCAGGTTGCTCAGAGCCCCATCCAACCTGGCCTTGAATGTTTCCAGGGATGGGGCCTCCACTACCTCTCTGGGCAACCTGTTCCAGTGGTTTACCACCCTCATTGTAAAGAATTTTTTCCTTATATCTAGACGTAATGGGAAATCAACTCCATCGTTTCCCTTTCCTGTGCACTTTGGGTCAAATTCTCCCTTCATTTTTCCCTAGCGCAGTTGAGAAGCAGCTCAGCTGAATCCCTGGGACTGTGCCAAAACTGATATAAACAGTGGAAGTGTTAATCTATCGTGGACTCTATTGTCTGCATTGTTCCAAGAGGGCTGTAGCTGAGTTGATGGACCATTGCTTTTTGTATATTCATTCTTTATTATCCTTATTAAAAAAAAGTAAATTAACAAAACATGGCATAGACCACATTCAAAGTCTGTCTTCTGCCCTCTGCTCTCTTGAAAAACATAATTAGAGAAATTTGGAATGAGGATGACATTGAAAAGCAGTAAAGAGACCACAGAAAGTCTTAGTTAACAGAAAGACAGAAGAAAGTCTAATGGCACTTATGAAACAATGCAGGGTTCCTGGTAGAATAGAAGAGAGGAGGACTTTGCAGCTTATGCCGAGAGGCTTGGATGCAATTTAAATTACATTCTTCTGCGTACAGCGTCAGGAGATCTTTTCCTTTGAGAGTCAGTGAAAGAGCTGAACCAGCTGCCTCTGGCCTCAGTTTTACCAAAACCAGTTCCCCATTGAATTTGCACCTTCACATGTTCTATATACATCTAAAACTTTTTGTGAGTGATAGAGACTGCCCAGCGTTTCAAATGAGAGCAGTTGTGGCCTTTCTCATCTCCATCTTCTACCCTAGCAATATGGTCCACAGGCTGAGCCTAGCCAGCCAAATGCAGGGCAGGTAGGATAAGCGTGGCAGGTTTGCAAGGGTGCTGCTGGCTTTGTCCAAATATGCCTTCACTTGGCCCCCCCAGGACACTGCTGAGGGTGTACTGAAGTGATGCCTGTGAACATTTTGCAAACAATAACCTTGGTCAAAATTCTGCCCCAGCTGGAACGTGATGTGTTAGATGTTTCCCAGGGTGCCTTTTCCTTCCCTCAAGGAAAGAAAATGAGTGCATCATACCAAGGAAAGTACGTCAGGATCACCCAGTTTTGCTGAGCTGGAGCAGGCAAGGAAACCACAGAAGGGGAAGCACCAGTCGTGGCAGGTTTCAGATTCCATTTGGGTGCCTGGCAGGGACTGGCCAGAGCCCAAACCCCTGCGACACCAACCCTGCGGCTGCTGCAACGACCCCACTGGTCAAGAGCCAGGCTGAGGCACAAAGCTCCATAACCTGAGGAAAATCAGGGCAAGGCCAGAAAAGGAAGAAAAAGGAGGAAGTAGCAAGCTTTGCAGCTTTCTTTCTGAGTGTGCATTGGTGGGGACATTTGGGAATTACCCTCTGGGATTTCAGTCATGGTACGGTCTCCTCGAGGTTTCATCTGCAAGGCTGCAATGAGCTGATCTCAGTGGGTGCCATCAGAATCCTCTCCTCCCTCCAGTTCCTACTCTTAATGCCCTATCTCCTCCCTGACACCGGTGTATTTGGGGTTTTTTGGGCTAAGCCAGTGAATGAAGTTATCCTGCTAGGGAAGAAGTGGGCAAGCAGTAATTGCAACAACTTGCCTGTCAAAAGGCTGCAGACCACAGCCAAAACTAAAATCCTTAGACAGAGAGGTGTAAATTGCCTGTTCATCCTGGGGATGGGGAGAGCGGCAGGCCAGGCTTCAGTCTGAGACCACTGCTCTAGCCCTGGAGCAGGGCAACAGGGTCCAGTCATAGAATCCTAGAATGGTTTGTGTTGGAATGGACCTTCAAGATCACCCAGTTCCAACCCCCCTGCCATGGGCAGGGACACCTTCCACTAGACCAGGCTGCTCAAAGCCCTATCCAACCTGGCCTTGAACACTTCCAGAGAGGGGGCACCCACATCTTCTCTGGGCAACCTGTTCCAGTGCCTCACCGCCCTCTCAGGAAATAGTATCTTCCTAATATCTACTCTATATCTACCCTCTTTCAGTTTAAACTGTCACCCCTTGTCCTATCACTACACTCCCTGATCAAGAGCCCCTACCCATCTTTCCTGTAGGCCCCTTTTAAGTACTGGAAAGCCACTATAAAGGTCCTCACTGGGGCTGCGGGGACCAGGGCCACCCGCATTCACCCCTTCTCCTCTGACTGCTCCCATCCGCTGGGCACAGGCACTGGAGGATGTCACAGGAGCTGCGCCACCGGTAACGGTCATCGAAGGCTCCGTCCTCCTCCCAGGCAGCCTCCCTGCAGGAGCTGGTGAGCGCTCAGCCCCTGGGGTGAGAAGGAACCCCTGCCAGCTCCTGGGGAGGCAGGAGGGGGCCATCCATTGCGGAGCAGGAGGAAGGCAGCGGGGAGGGCACCCACCTGCCAGGGATTTTGATGTTGAGCTGAAACATCTCCACCTGGAAGGTCTGCATGTCCTGGAAGAGCAGGCAGCAGAAGTGGTGCAGGGCAGAGTGCGGTGCCTGGTGCCGGGGTCAGTGCAGGGGGGTCCCACTTGCTCCCCTGGAGCTGGGCGATGGGGTGATGACAGGGGTGATGTCGGGCTGGGGGCAATGCCACCTACCTGGATGCAGTGGTGGTGGAACCAGGAACTGGCGCAGGTGGGACAGACCAGAGTGTCCTAGCAGGGCCACCCTGTCACCGCCTCCTAGCAGATGAGGCAAGGGGTCTGCTCCTGCTGCACTGCCTGCACCCGCTGCACTGGCCGGTGCTTCCAGCAAAAGGACCTGCGGGACAGAGGTGACAGCTCAGCCCCAGTCCTCCCTGGCCCCAGCTCCGGCCCTGTGGGGTGGCTGCAGTCACTTGAACTCCCCGAAAAGCTGGGAGATGCAGCATCGCTTGCTGCTGCAGGGGAAGTAGAAGTTTTGGGGGCATTTCCAGCCCTGGCGGGTGACTGAGATGCCCCACAGCCGGCAGATACAGCACCTCTGGGGGGAGCACAGAGGCAGCTGGCATCAGTGCCTCCATGACCCTGGGGAACCTGGTCAGCCCTCGCCCAGCACGGCCTCATGACATTTCAGTGGGCCACCTGGCCAGTAACACCGGCCCACTGATAGAGCCATGTACCCTCTCAAAATCCCCAATTTCTGCAGAGATGGGCCTTTTTGGATAAACGAGGATCTGGTGAGTTATTGCAGACAGCTGCCAGAGCATCCCTGGGGGGTTGCTTGATGTGCAGTGCCAGCCAGGGGACATGGGGACCATGGTGGGAACACGTTTTCCCCGGCCTCAACTTCTGTGCCACCCGCTTCAGCTCCTGCCAGATGTTGGGGAAAAGGAAGCTGTAGAAGCCCTCTTCCTCAGCCCCTCTCTGGCTCAACCCACTGGCGTGGTACTGCAAGAGCAGAAAAGAGGGGGTGTGCCCGGGGCTATTGGCAGTGTGGGGCTGGGGACTGGGGCGTGTAGAGCCCTGGGGACTCACCAGAAAGTTCTTGTAGATGCAGAGCCTGTCATGCTGGCAGAACTGCCCAATGACCTTGAGTCTCAGTCAGTCCACTAGCACAGCCAGCACACTGCTGGGGAACAGTGGCACCGTCACCCCCAGCATCGTGCTGGGGTGCCAGTGGGGGTGATGCTGGGAGCGGGATGGGGGAGAGACCAGAGCACGTTCCCACGGCATGGGGACCTCTGCTTGTAGAGCTGGGCTCTGGCCAAAATCCCCTCTGGCAGCTGCCTGAGGGGCTGTTCTGTGCTCACCTTCCTCCTTGGGGAACTGACGCTTCATTTGGGGGGCAGAGAGGTGCACAGGAGGGTCCTGCCTGCTCCTCCAGCAGCTCTGTGGGACAGTGTGTGGGGGCTGCAGCATCCTGCAGTGCCAGGACCTCAGCTCCATCACTGCAAGGGGCTGTAGTGAAGGAGATAGCTGGGTGTGGGGACATTGGTTTGGTTGAAGACCATTGTGATCCTCCAGTGTTTGAGGCAAACACATTACTGATCTGGCAGTGGATGCTCAGTGGGGCTGCCCGGTCCGGGGGTCTTGTGATTCAGCTCTGCACATGCTGTGTAAGGAGAGCCCTGAGCAGGGGGCAACCCCCAGGTGAGACGCTGGTGCACACGGGGGTGTCTGGGTCATGCTGGGGAGCAGGACCTGAGCCCGGGCTGGGGAGAGGGAAGTACTGCGGGACCTGCCATGGGGCTGAGGCCACCCTGCCTGGGGGAGCAGTGAAACCAGGGCATGGGGAGGGCAAGGGGGTCCCTGTGGGCCCCTTCTCTCATGTTTGGGCTCCAACAGGGACTTCAGAGACATCCAAAGGGTTTGAAAATCTAAACACTTTATTTAGGCATCAAAAATCCCGACTCCTCATTACCAGACATGTTGATACCTTTTAAATCACTTTTGTATTTTCACTTCCTTAGCAAAGAAAATTCAGTTTAACAAATGTATGCCAATGAGAATAAATTTTCCTGTTGAAGAAGGGTGCAGCTCAAGCACTCTGCTGTGTGTCTGGTGCCGGGGACCGAGCCTGCTGCAGTGGGGTGTCAGCAGGGAAGTGTTGGTGCTCCATGATCGGGATGTGCTTCAGATATGCCTGCACCCAGGGCATCTGGGGGTCCGCGCACACCTCCCTCCCTTTCCTGGTGACCAGGCTGCCGGGAGAAAACCAACATTGGGGCACTCAGTCAGGTCAGCGGGGTGCCTGCGCTGGGTCCCACTGGCAGTGCCCCAGGTGTCCCTGGCCATGCCCCTTTCCCCTTGCTGTCCACCCTTCGACACGCTTGGGGCCTTGCCTTGGCTGTCACACCCAGACCCCTGGCAGTGTTGGGCACTTACATCACCGCTGGCTGGGGGCAAATGTTGCTGGTCATGTAGGCAGAGGCGATGGATCTGCGTGGGATCATGCGTACCATGTAGCTGAAGCAGCAGAAGGTGGGGGCAGTGGCTGTGGGGCAGAAAGACAGCTCCAGTGAGACCCCACACTGCAGCAGAGGCTCTGCCTGGGGCTCCCAGGGGATTTGCCATCACCTGTACTGTATCCCCTGGGGACACACCCTGGAAGCCTCTATCCCTGAGGCTGAGTCCCAGCACTGGTGATGACCACCCACTCCCAGCCTTCCCCATGGACATGAGAGTCCCATCAATGGGGATGGGGTTCTGTCCCGGGGAGGAACAGCAAACCTTTCTTCTGTGTAGGTGCACCAATGTTGGAGTCATCACGATGGGCCTCAGCTGGGGAGCAGATGGTCACAAGGAGCAGGGCAGTCAGGGTGGCTGCAGGGACCTTCATGGTGCTGCAGGGGCCGAGGGAACCAAGAGCAGGGCTGGAGCTGCGGTGGCTGCTGGGCTCTCCTCTGCACGATGCTCAGCCCCTGCTGCCTCTGCTCTCCTTTTATCCCCCGACTGCTGGGTGGGCGCAGGAAAGAAAATGAGTGCATGATACCAGGGAAATTACATCAAGATCGCCCAGTTTTGCTGAGCTGGAGAAGATTAAGAAACCACAGAAGGGGAAGCACCAGGCATGGGACTGTGACTTTCAGATTCAAGAGAGAACAAGTCTTACAAGGAGCAGCTGAGGGAACTGGGGTTGTTCAGCCTGGAGAAGAGGAGGCTGAGGGGAGACCTTATCACCCTCTACAGCTGCCTGAAAGGAGGTTGTAACGAGGTGGGGGTTGGTCTCTTTTCCCAGGTAACAAGTGATAGGACGAGAGAAAACAACCTCCAGTTCTGCTATTTAGGAGAGGTTCGATTGGATATGAGGAAAATTTCTTCCCTGAAAGGGTTGTCACGCATTGGAATGGGTTGCCCAGGGAAGCGGTTGAGTTCCCATCCCTGGAGGTATTTAAAAGACGGGTGGACGAGGTGCTTAGGGACATGGTTTAGTGGTGGACTTGGCAGTGCTAGGTGAACGGTTGGACTTGATGATCTTAAAGGTCTTTTCCAACCTAAACAATTCTATGAATCTATGATTCTTTGGTTCTTCAGGTCAGAAGATCCACAAATAATGCAAGTTCTACTTTTCCAGTTCTCTTTGTTCTTACTCCTGTCCTTAAAATTAACCCCAGCTGGAGCCTTAAATACAAACTAAACATATCCATTATCCCTCCTCACTGATCTTGAGTTTTGCAGAGATGCATAATCCACCAGTGAAATGAAATTACAGATGTTTAATTTCCCAAAGAATAATATATACTATAAGAAAGTCCTAACTACTATTATGGTAAACCTGGATCTATTAAAAAAAAAGAAATCCATTAGTATATTTTACAGTCGACACCCCACTCCATGCTGTTGTGGTCTGAGTAACTTGAATTCTGCTAATTTTCTGCCTACTTCTCTATATTTAAAAACATGGAAGGGTCTTGCACATATTTAACAGAACCGTAAACATAATCTCTGGAGCACTATAGAGACCAAAAAATAAAAATACCTATTAGTATCTGCAGACCCTGATTTCATCCTTGGTTTTGTAAGTCTGCAGTATCCCAACAATATATCCAAATCATAAACTAGTATTTTCCTAAATATTTAACTGGATAACAGCACAAGCTGAAGCCTGAACTAGGTGACCCATAAGTGTTCCAAAATTGATTTAATTGCTTCAATATAATATACTCTTGTCTCTGCTGAGAACATCCAACGGCATACTGGGCAAGAAATTATGTCCTACTGCTCCTCTTTAACCTAACACTAATGGTAAATGACCACTAACCATCTCCTTAAACGCTCCCTTTCTTGTCTGTCCTGGTAAGAAGTACATGTGCACTTGTCTTTCTGTTCTAATTTAAATAATTTTAGGACATTTCTGTGTAGGGCAGGCAAGTAATTTTGAGAATACATTGGGGGGTTTTGTTTGTTTGTTTGTTGGCTACTTTTGAGGTCATGCTCCCTTTTAGTTAAGATAGAAGCTGCCCTTTGACTGACATTTTATCTTCATTGAGATAATATAATAAATAGATTCTTTGTGCTTATCTAAATTGGACCAGTGTGTCCAAACTATAAAAGCAATAATAATTGGTTCTTGGATATAATATATATGTATAGTTATAGTCCCATTCAGAAAGATGCAGTACAGAACTCATTGAAAGATTTGAGAATGACAAGCGATTATGAATCCTAAATTTCTTGATTAAGATTAGTTATCTGGCACCTATTATATCTGTGATATAACGATGCTTTTCCTCATTTAGAAGAAGATTAATTTACATCGCAGCACTATTTAGTGCTGCAGCAAAATAACCCTATCATAGCAGGTATCTTGGACAGCTGCTCAATCAAAGACGAACTTTTCCTTCCTTATCCATTTGGAAGAAGCAATAATACAATGCTTTTCTAAAGAATGCAGCGACAAACAAGAAAAATAAGCTGAGGTACTATCTAATTCAAAAGTTGCCCCAGTTGCAGATTTCTGTACAGTTCTGCTCTCATCTATGAAGTCTAGCATCTTCTACTTTCTGGATTTTGGGGTGGTGGTTTTGGTTTTTTTTAGGAGTCAGCCTTATATCTATAACAACCTCACAACTTTACGGTTATTAAATATTACAGAATAAAAATAGAAGAATATATAAATGGATCTCCAAATAGTCAAGGTTTGCCAGTAGCTTCATCTGAGATACCACATTTTGATACCAACATCAGTCCTGGTATATAGTCTATTTTTGACAGTGGCTAAATAATACCGTTTTGGTGGTAACTGCACTAGATTTCACCCTCCTGAACATCTTGACTTTTCCCCTTTGTTTTGTGTGTTAAATAATAACATTTAGCCAAGATTGATCTAAGATAAGTGGAGATCCTCCATCCATGGGTTAAAATCAGCTGTCTTGTTCTGCAAGAGAGTATGCAGGTTCCCTAAATGACAAGATTTGGTCCCAAAGAAGTGTAAAGAATGTGATGGGAAAGCAAAACTGGCTTGAAAGCATCTGTGTTTCCCACTTTAATAGTGGCAGCAAACCAAAGCTTCTTATGGTACATATCACAGCAGTTAGCTACAGCCTGATCTTGTGAAGAGCCACAAATGTATCTTAACACTATGTATAATCCTTCTGGCTCTACTTGCATCTGCAGGATTTTATTTATATTTCTCATTAGGTCCCAATAGTTTAAAATCTTTTTGGCCTTATAAAGCCCCAGTTCCATGCTGGTAAAACACTCACGGGTTAATGTCACTGTTGTGGTTTAACCCCAGCCAGCAACTAAGCATCACCCAGTCACTCGCTCACTCCTCTCCTCCCTCAGTGGGATGGGGGAGAGAATCAGAAAAAAAGTGAAACCTATGGGCTGAGATAAAGACAGTTTAATAAAAGAAAATAATAACTATAACAATAATGGTAATAGAATATACAGAATATACAAAACAAGTGCACAACGCAATTGCTCACCACCCACTGACTGATGCCCAGCCTGCCTATGGTCTGGGATAGCCCTTGGGCCAGCTGGGGTCAGCTGCCCTGGCTGGGCCCCCTCCCAGCTTCTTGAGCCCCTGGCAGAGCAGGGGAAGCTGAAAAGTCCTTGGCTGGTGTAAGCCCTGCTCAGCAACAACTAAACCATCAGGGTGTTATCAACATTCTTCTCATCCTAAATCCAAAACACAGCACTATGCCAGCTACTAGGAAGAAAATTAAACCTATCCCAGCCCAAACCAGGACAGTCAGGAATTGATAGCACAGGAACCTTCCAAATCAAGATGGCTTTGGAGATGCCTGATTGTCTTTCCTTGGTTGGTGACACAAAACATTCTCTGTGTCTGGTCTCTGCCTCTCAGTATGGTTTTGTAAACATGGAGGGATCCTGTTTCTTCTTTTCTTTTAGTAACAGAAAAGAAAGCATCATTTTGGATCTTATACAATCATTTTCAAAGATATATAGTTCGTTAACTCTAATTCACCCTAAATTAAGGAGCATTTATTCTGGTGTGCTTTAGGCTTTCCAGGACAAAACAGTCAGATATAAGTATCTGGACTGAGCTGAAATCTCTCATCAACGACACAATCCTGTTTGTCAAGGGATTAAGCCTGTTCCTTCACTGTGTGCTGTTCTGTAAATCTCAGACCAAGGTCAGAGTCAGCTTTTAGACATCAATTTTGACTACTTCATGAGGGCTAACAGGACCTGGATTCCTCTGATATTCCCTTAAGGAGTCGGCATTGGCTCACTGTGATGGAAAGTCATAGTTGTCTTAAAAGCACTTTACACGCTCATTCCCCAAACGGCCCAGAGGCTTACAGCTGTACCTGAGACATCATTGTCAACCTTCCTTCTCTGTGCAAACTCAATTTTCAGCTCAGAGAAGCAGTGTCCATTGCAGCATCTGTCTCCATGATTCTCTGCATGGGTGACTCGCAGTTCCCTGTCCAAGCAAACCAGATAATGTACCCTTTTGCAGCATCAGAAGTTTTAGGTCTCCTTTGTTCCAAGTCTGAATAATAGGAAAACTACTCTGTTGTAGGGTGGATGAAGCTGGGTTTTTGTTTGTTTCTGGGGGTTTTTATATATAATTTTATCCATTTAAACATTAAGCTATGTAACTGTTTTCTTTTTCTGAAATAGCTTCTTTATTTCCCTTGGTTTTAATTCTGTACATTCAAGCAGAACGTTAAATAGTGTCAAACTGAAGAAAATTAATTGCATAACATGCTGAAAAGATGAACTGGGGAAATGTTTGTTATTACGTTAACTTCTTACCTCTGTCCTTAATGTGAATTACTCGTCAGAGAGAACTAACCAGCTTGGAATTTATTTTTAGATATGTGTTCCTATAAAATGGGCTCTTTCTTCTGTGCACTTAATTTTAGTGAAAGAAAAAAGCAAATGTTGGTATAATATTATTGCAAAACATCTCTCTAGAGCAGTTAATTCTCATAAGTGGTAACAGCTTTCTATTGCTATTTCTTAGTGAAAATACTTCCTTTGTTAAACTGTTTAAGGCTGATGCCAAAGACAAGTGTATGAAAACCAGCTCATGAATTCTGCCCTTCTAGACATGATCTTCGTGGCTGATTAAAGTGAACCTTGACTTGTTTTGGGAAGAAACAAAGCACTTTCTGACATTCTTGGCTGTTTGTTTTAGTGCTCCTGACCTACAGCTTGAGGTGACTTCTGGCTGCTGTGGTGAATCCAGCTTTTCTTTTTATCCAATTCCCAATACTTTTTTTTATAGGCTCTTTCTTTCTTCATAAGTGTGGAGGGGATAATAAGGATTTTGTAGATGAAATCTTGACTTGTTTCAATGAGACAGAGTTTAGGTACTGAGTAAGTTCAAAATATGAAATGAGGTGGTTTCTCAAGCACTCACAATCCCAGAAACCATCTTTGTTTTATAATCCTGGTACCAGCATGGACTTTACTGTTGTGAGACT